CCGGTGAATATTCGGTAAAGGCTTTGGTGTGAGCTATATGTCTAATGTGTTATTTCACAGGTGCGAACATTTTATATGTTATGACAGTAGATTACCGATTTAACTGTTTATATAATTTCATTTGTCTATTTCACCACACGTTCTTCTTACCGAGTCACTTTCTCAGTTTGATACTTAAAAGCAATGTCATTATTAAGCGTTGACAAAATGTCTAACTGTGATATAGATATGTCGTTGTCACAGACAAAACTCAATGTCTGTTTTATTGACACCTATGTGTCTGCCTGCCTGTCTGCTAATGACAATATTCAATACACAACTGCGATCACTGACCTCATGCAAATTGAACTTAACACCTATCAGGCTATACACCATAGACAAAACGCATTGATTCATGGCCGGCGTTCGGTCTCTGTCACATTATGTTATTACACAGACAGGCAGGTGTAATACTTGTACACATGACATGTTATGATGTCTGTTGATTGCAAAATGTTATACACAGTTAAATTGCTGCACTTCCATACGCATATTACATAACATGTAATACATTTGTCACATGAGACCTTAACTCATAATGCTGAGTATTTACTCCAGACACAAGAAATGCGAAATGGGAACCTTTGTCGGGTAATCTGAGTGGTATTACCATCATACCTGTTATAAATTCATTAACTGACCATCAAGTGAATGATGACAAATAACATGTGTAGGTTTATACCACCAAACACTGGTTACAGCAAAGGGCGTAGTACTTGCTGAATTGCATGCAATGTTAATTGCCTGAAAAAAACTTACGGGCCGACACTGTTTGGAGGATACGAACGGAACTTCATTGTTGCATAAGAAATAAGCATTTGATGTGTACTGAAGTTAAAATTGCATATACCTAAGTAAATTTTAATTTGTCATAAATATAGTATGCAATAGACATCATATGTTTACATGGCATGATTAAATATCGAGGTAAAAAAAAACACAGAAATAAGATCAACTTGGATCAGTCACTATGCCATCTATGCATTAGAAAAATCCGAAAAGCATACACTGCTGGGATACTTTATTGCAATCAGACAGGAACTACCAGGGGTATTCTCAAATAACAACATCGGATGAGCATCCACCCTTCCTAATGTCCCGTTGTTTGGGTTGAAGTCTCCCGTTACCACTCGTGGCTTACTACGCCTTCTATGTTTTTTATGTGTTTTATATTTCAATGTATATATGCTAAGTATATATGCTAAATGAGACTGAAATAAAACACTATCTTTATACATATATTTGGCTCGTTTTCTCATTAGGCGTGCTCTCATTCGCATAATCCGGAATATCCTCTTCTATCAACACGTAGACCTATCGTTGTCTCTATAATCCAATGTTAATTTGCTAACAGACGGGCATCAACATTTCTGTTAACTCATCCGTTTGGATCAAAGGTCGATAGAGGGGAGTTTCCATGTATATTCTCACGCCGTTATCAAGATAAAAGTTACTACAACCAGGTGAATAGAGGTATATATGCATAGTGACAAGCAGCAAATTAACAACAGGTAATTCAGCAAGTAGCACGTCGTTGGGGCCAACAGGAGAGTAAGATCAACAAGTCGAAATCCACTCCATTCTCCAAGTGATGGAATCAATCAACATTCAATCAGCTTGTTTATCCTGAACGTTGTACATCGAAATGCCGCTCTATGCAATAAACAGGGAGTTGTTATCACGTAAGTGGTATGTTTCGTTGTGTATCCCCATACTGTTTACTGCAGTATAAGTGAGATCTGCTTCACTTTGCGAATGACCAACCTTTTGAAGTTGATTTAAGTTCTACTTTAGTAAACTGCTACCTAACAGATTGATCTCAGATTAAAACATCTCATTCCAAATTCGTGTTTTCTATTTCAGGTACTAAGAAATACTGAATTTTTAAGTATTAGATATACATCTATCGGTACCAGTTTGACGTGTCTGGTCATGAGTTAACTAACATAGTGATTATATATTTTTGACCATTACATGTGTCATTCATATGTCATTTATGCCATGATAATGTTCTCTGATCCATTTCATCATACAGCATTTATTTCATTCAATGTTTTGAAGCTCATATGAAAACATGAAAAATGTTACTGTTCCAGTTCCTTTTGAAGAGTGAAAGTATTTTTGTTCCTCAAGTCTTCCAACCAATATAGTCATTATGGTTACAAACGACCTGATTTTAATACCTATCAAGTTAGATGTTATACACGCGTGCATGCACACACACCAACACCCACACAAAACATCCGTAATTTGTGAATTCTGTTCGGACGATAAAGAAATATCTAATTTGATCAGAATCAGTATATAAATTATCTTCCCTTACTCTGAGAGAAGCATGGCATTATTCGTTCCTTTTTTAATAATTTTAATCTGCATAAAAGAAGGTATTATCAAAACTGTGAAACAAACTTGCGTATACTACCATATCACTAACATTGCGATATTGACCATGGAATAAATGTTAAGTTTAGTCTGTTTTCAATGTCATAATATGTGAGGTTCCTCATTCACACATACATACAAACTGACAGCATAACACAAAACAATATGCAACCAACCCAATGTAATACAATACAAGTTTCACCGCCTGTGCATACCACACTGTTGACGAATCTCTCAGGTGTGTTAGAGCGATAATCACACCGCGACATGATTAACAAACCTACAGCTCAGCAGATTTTAATTACTTACCTTTTTAATAAGAAATGCAAGATTTATGGATGTCAACTTCTTTATTGTGAATAACACGAAGTTTCGGAGCATATGCTTGCTCCTTCATCAGGTGAAAATCAGGTCACAGTAATGCATTCCACTTCTGAAATGCCCATCAAAGATTTAACTTACTTCCAGAGGCTTCTTTTAGAGGCATAAAAACTTGTTAATTAACAAGGCAGTAGGCCTTGTTAATTGGTGACTATTACTTGCCTTGACTCACTCATCAATCAACAAGGGATTAGGTCCCGGGGCGTGCAAATAACAATGATTTACCATCACCCACCAGTTATCTCCCCTTGTGGACATTTCCAAAATTGAAAATCTTTGGAAACATCATCTTTCCAAAATTGGAAATGTCTTGTAAACATGGACTTTTTTCCAGTGATAGGACTAATAACATCTCAAGATCTTGCGGTACAATTTGGCAGCAACACAGCTGATGCTGTTGGCTCAGTGAAGAATCTCGGGGTGTATTTTGACAGTTGCCTCAAAATGGAGAAGAAGCAGGTGTTTCTAATTCCTGCTACTACCAGATGATGATGATTTTAAAGGGAAAGGGTGAGGGGGGTCACCCATTTTGTTCTGGGGAGGCAGGGGGGTCATCAATTTTGTACATAGAAATATTAAATATTTATGCTTAAAATTATTGTAAGGGAGGGGGGTCATTGATTTTGTACATGACATGCATGGCGGGGTCACTTACTTTGTACATAAATTTTATGGGTGTGGGGTCATTCACATTGTATATGCTTCTCCATGAAAATCATCATCACCCCCCAAGCCATAAATTATGAACGGTGTCTTAAAGTGTTTTAGTACCTAAATCATATAGGGCGCTATACACATTTTGGATATCATTATTATTTTTTATCATTATAGTTAAAGCCATATTCTTTGTGAATTTCAAGAACATCGTCAAGGCACTGTTTGAGCCGTGGAAGCTGCATTGCTGCCGTGACAGAAGATACAGAGTTATTCACGAGCTCTGTCTGGAAAGTACAACAATAATAGAAGACGAGTACAATCTGTGAAATTAGGATGATGAATTCAAATGTTCCGGTTAAACAATCTCGAACAAAAAAATTCGGGTTGAATGCCGAAGTACTACAGTTTCGGAAGTACTACAGTTTCGAAAACTAATAGTTGCAATCAAACATTAAAGCTGTCCGACCACATGTACGAGCTGCCCAAATAGCAAGATATGCTTAATATCCGTTTCGTGATAGTGTCATCTCAGTCATCCATTCACCAACACTTCATAAACACCTTGTCCTTTTCGCCAGATGGAATCTGTTTCGCCAAAGAATGGCGACAGAGTATTATCTGACAACTACGTTTTATCTTATACCTTCATTTGTCTAAACTGTCAAAAACAAGTATTTATCTAGTCTACTGAAATTAATCAACTAAATGTACAAATATGAAACGTGACGAGAAGCAGAAAGATTCAACAACGGTTACGTGCGTTATGTTTCTGTTGAGGGGAGAATGATTCAGCTTTGGAAGAGACTTATCTTATCGTCAGTAGGTAATGAACGTTTCCGTGGGGCGCGAATGATGCTGGCTACGACATTGTCTGGGGTTAATTATATAATGGTAGTGCGAATTCCAATTCCACTCTCAGCCTCGGGTGTGATCCAGACACGTATTCCAGTATGGCTCCTCGCAGGGTGTACGATTGTTTGAAGGAAATTCACTGATAAACGGTACGTGTTAAGTCAAGGACGTCAAATATTTATGATAGTAATTGCACATATGAAGCGATAAAATCCCAATAGACAACCCATCAATTTGTCAATATGCACGGATGTAACTAGTGGCTTTACGATGGGTCATTAAATACTGTACATGCGTGAAACCATCTTTCGGATAGGTAAAACATTGCAGGTATTATATGTTCAACTGTGTATGTGTAATAGTCACAGGACACCGAATAATAGATTGTTCATCGAAAGAACATGTTTGTCTTATTAGGTAAAATATGGTTATTGTCTTCCCAGCTCCCTAACAGTGTTGTGTTGTATATGTTACAGTCAATCTGTCAAACTAGTCATTTGGTCAAATGACTAAAGCAATCAGTCATTTGACCAAATGACTAAAATGTTTGACCAGTCATTTGACCAAGTGACTAAATCGTTTAAGTTAAACAATGAAACACACAAAAAATAAAGTGAACAATGGATTTTTCCAGTTTCAACATAGAGCTTTGCATAACTTGTTTTGACAAGTGAGACGTGAATAACACCGGTTCCACATCTCTTGCTACCAGCACAGTTACATTTTACGAAACCCTGGCCTCCTGATAAAGACTCGGCTCCAACAGCAGTACGAATGGATACTGAAGTTTCAGTGTTGACTTCTGATAAAGTTAAGAGTTTCTCTGGTTCCTCGAGAACTTGCCTTGGAGGACACCAGCAGGGCAGGCGACTGTATATTGTCCGTTGCCACTCACATTGGTGATCACACCCACGGTCGCATCACCACGACACGGTCCACTGGTGGAATGGGAATGGCCACATTGTCTTTCACACACCCTTCTTTCATGACAACTTTACTGCGCTTCACCATCCTCTCTGCCTGTTTTCTTAGGGAGTCGTGTGTAAAGGTCCTATTCCTGTTGATGGTCTCCATCTGATGTTCAATATCATGTCAACCACTGTCGTCTTTTTCAACAGGGTCAGTCTCGCGGGTCTCAGACTGCTCTGGGTGGGAACTGGTAGCTGCAAGTAGGTCATCCTCTGTCTGTCTGTCCTCTATCTTTTTAGTCAATTGACCAAATGATTGAAACATTTAGTCTTTTGAAAAAATGACTGATCGCTTTAGTAATTTGACCAAATGACTGAAATTTTCAGTCATTTGGTCAAATGACTGGTTTGACAGATTGACTGAAACCTATATACATGTTTGTCAATAGATAATTGCCCGAACCTCCATTGAAGGTTTTCACCCGTAGCTACACTTAATAGATAAACAGCTTTGGCATCGAGTCATGGTATTGGTATATTTTAAACATAGTCAGGTATATTTTCAATATAGCCAAATGTTTCACTGAAAGCAGGCAATAATATTTCCTCAAGACTGTTTTTGTACACTGCGACGATGAGACAACAAAACCAACTGTTTGAGAGGCATTCTAGAAGTTGTAAGCAATAGGAATGACAAGTCTTTATGGATGATCAACTTCTTTATTGTACAATAGCGTATCAAAAACAATCTGTATTATGTTTATGTGGGTTTTTTGTGTTTGTTTTGTTTTTGTTTTTGTTTGTATTCAAATAAAATATAGTTCATGCAGTATGTTACAGGTGAACACTGCGACGCTGTATATATAGAACATAGGTATTCTGTGTCAGTGTTAAATAGTAGAAGATATACAAACTTTTCTTTCGCCTGAAAACATGTTCTCCAATGACTGTGGAACCTTTACCAAATCCATTAATGTATTTATCTTAAAACTGTATAACTGCAATATCCCGGGATGCAGGAATTCTAAGTCGGATGAAAAGAGTATTAAAACAAGGTACTAGCACAAATATTGAAAAGAAAATGGTTATTGTAGTTACATTTACAATGCTTTTGTTAACTTTTGAATTACTCTCCAGTAACACATGTTTAACGTAAGAAGAGACGAACGGGATCGGCTGCTGGGCTCGCGGATTTGGTTGACACAAATCATCATATCACAGTTGCGCAGATCGATGCTCATGCTGTTGATCACTGGGTTGTCTGGTCCAGACTTGATTATTTACAGACACATTTAACTGGACTATTGCTGATTGCTGCGTTAAACAGCAACATGTCTCAGAGACATCCATTTCAACACGCAGACATCATTCTATTATAGACATATATATCCTCACATCGATCTACTGTATTGTCATTCTATTATAGACATATATATCCTCACATCGATCTACTGTATTGTCATTCTATTATAGACATATATATCCTCACATCGGTCTACTGTATTGTCATTCTATTATAGACATATATATCCTCACATCGATCTACTGTATTGTCATTCTATTATAGACGTATATATCCTCACATCGATCTACTGTATTGTCATTCTATTATAGACGTATATATCCTCACATCGATCTACTGTATTGTCATTCTATTATAGACGTATATATCCTCACATCGATCTACTGTATTGTCATTCTATTATAAACATATATATCCTCACATCGATCTACTGTATTGTCATTCTATTATACACATATATATCCTCACATCGATCTACTGTATTGTCTGCATTTCATAAATTCTCGTTTCCACTGAGATTCCCATGTCCCATGCTCTAAAAACGTCACCTGAATTAAACCTGATAAGCATAATTTGTCACGTATATTTGGTCGAAACCGACAATGCACTATAGTAATTCTATCACATACATTTATCCTGGAGGCAACGTTGAAGTGGAATCCGTCGTACCGTAAATATTTCCATGAATATTTCATGCTCTCATCCCAGAGACTCATTTCCTAGAGTAGAGGAACTAATAATGTGGATCGCTTCATTTCGTAAATCCTGCATAAAACCCACTGGCCACACATGGGATCCATGTCAATGCCAAACAATCCCATGTGCATTTTGTTGTATATTACACGTCAATTACCCAAACACAATACACGCCCTCTTCAAACACAACTTGTCAATAAAGGCCTTAATCGTCCGGGGCGGTAGTAACTTTAATCAAATATATATATTTATTTCCGGTACTGAAAGGCCACAGGCCTGTAGTACAAAACATTTAAAAATCAATATTTACACGCACATGTAATATACATGAAGAAGAGAAAATAATCAACTGTAGGTTAGATTGTGTTCTGAGATATATTCTGTCCTAAACAACATGGCATAGTAAGCAAACATGGACAAGTTTTGAAGTATAGTATGTTTTTTGTTATTTAACAATGCCGAAAATTTATAAAGGTTTGGATGGGCACAATAATATTTCTTAATATACAACTTTCTCAGGGAGTTATAAGCAGGGCAAATTAAAGAAAATGATATTCATCTTATATTTGGTCAAGATCACATTGTTTGCAGGTTCTATTTTCTTTTTTGACATTTTTAAATCTTCCACTTTCGATAAATAAATCATGTGAAGAACATCTTAATCTGCTTAACGCTATCCTATACTTTTTTACGTTTAGATATGAAAGATAAACATCTTATAATACAAACATTTACTGGAAAGTGATAACTTTTCAAACCATTCTTGCAAATAGATATCTTTTAATATGCGTGTTAGTTCTAAAAGAAACTTACCCTCAGGATCAACATACTGATCGTTCCATACAAAACCAAACCCTTTCGAAAATAGAAAATTTCTAACAGAAGAAACCCAATTTGTGTGTCAATTTTTTTCGAATAGCTTCATCATATTGTAACATTTCTTTGGTAGCCTATAGGAAGGCATCTTCAGTAATTTTAACCAGTATTTTATAACTCTGATATTTGAAAACAAGTGCATCGGGTATTTACCACATTCTCCATACACCATTGTATTCATCGTATTGGATTTAACACAAAGAAATCTTTTACATGCTTTGTTTGTAATTGGACTCTTTCGATATCATTGTAATAATTCAAACCCCAAATTTCGGCTCCGTACAATAACATTGGCTTAATTTTGGCATCGAATATTTTAAAGTATGAACTTATATCTATGTCTCCAAGTACATTTAATTGTTTAAAGATACCTATCATTACCATTTGCGCTTGCAAACAAGCGTAATTAACATGTGCTGTCTAAGATAAACAATTACTGAAGAACATTCCCAAATATTTGTACGAACTGGTGCATTCTAATTCTTTACCTTTATACAACCATTTCTCGTTCTTTGATAAACGTCCCCCCTTTTTAAAAGCTACTACTTTAGTTTTATTTCTATTTACAGTTTATTTGTATTTGCCACAATAACTCTCAAGTTTTTGTATAAGTCTTTGTAAACCTGCAACAGTGCTTGAGAATGGCACGGTATCGTCTGCAAAGAGCAGAAGAAAAATATGTACTAGGTCAGGGTGTAACTGTATTCCATACTCACAATTGCTTTCAATTTGGGTTGACTAATTCATTTATGAAAAATGAGAAAACAATGGGCTAAGTATACATCCTTGTCTTACCCCGAGTTGCAGTTCAAAAGAATCTGAGAATTCATTGTTATTCTTAACACAAGCTTTAACATTTTCAGACATATTCTGAATCAATTTCATTTTAGGACTTAGACCATGGGTATAAAAATAGACCATAGCTTTTGTCTGTCATCTGAATCAAATGCTTTTTCGAAATTAACGAAAAGTGTATAGAATTTACAACCTTTGGTGTTGAGATATCTCTGTATAATACTTTGTAATATAAACACATTGTACTTACATATAGCTACTGAAGTGATTGAAGCGTTATTAGCCTTATTACAAAGAATGTTTAGCGCATACTTAACACTTCGCAAGCACATATTATTTTTGGCTTATAGACGGTATACGGTGTGCGTGTTATATTTTACGTTTGGTTTGTCGTGTTAATGCAACTGCAGATATATCCGGTTATGTGCACAACATACATCCTTAGTGTATGTATGTATGTATGTATGTATGTATGTATGTATGTATGTATGTATGTATGTATGTATGTATGTATGTATGTATGTATGTATGTATGTATGTATGTATGTATGTATGTATGTATGTATGTATGTATGTATGTATGTATGTATGTATGTATGTATGTATGTATGTATGTATGTATGTATGTATGTATGTATGTATACTACTGGAATCAAGTGACTATGCATTATTTGATGTTATGCAAAAAGGAAGTTGGACGTAAGCCAGGAATGGTCCGAGCAGTCAGGCTAACACCGTTATCATGCAAGTGAACTTGATTTTCCTTCATGTATACAACTTCTAAAGATGCCTCTCAAAGAAGTATCCATAGAGATGAGATCGTGTTTCGATGGACAACAAAATGCCTGGCCACTTCGAATTCATTTCGGGCAATTCCAGTTTCTAGTATACCTAGGGCGTAGAGACGCTGATTTTCTGTAAGTTTTCGTATGACGTAGTTGCAGTTTTGGTTGAAATTAACGTGTTTTCCACAACAGAGAATAATCAAGGGTTCTTCAATTTTCAATACCAGGTGTGTGAACTTCAGGTGTCCAAAAGCATGCAAAAAGTGAGTAGTTCATTGTGCAAAGTGCACGTTCCACGCGCGATGCGTGACATCAAACTTCATGCACAGTGCTTGGCAAAATGTTCATTTAGGGTCATTTTTATAACTTTTGAAATTTTTTATTTTATGCAATTTTATGTTATGCACAGTTACATTTTCCCGTTAAAATGTGTATGGGTATGTGAAGATGCGTGTGTAGGTGTATGTACATGTACGCTAGTGAGCACGCTGTGCAGTGGTCTATGATATAATACCCTCGTAGATTCACATTGTTTACCGATTTTCTAAGGGTTTGATAAACAAGGAGGGAAGTGTGGATTCGTCCCTGGATAATGAATGCGCCATCAGCTCAGACGTTGTAGCCTTGTGCTCTCCTTCACAGAGAAACCACGAACCCAATACTACTACAATATGAAC